CAAATTGGCTCTGTTTGGGCTGCTTTAACTCAGTCCTTCCTGCCCCCTGCCTTTTTTCTTTGTAATGATCCTGTCCTCCCCTGTTCAGATCAGAGGTTACAAAAAGGAAATAGCGGAAGAAGGAGATGGCCTGGAAATGAAAGCAGGATTCTGTTAAATCTCTGGCATTTGTCAGTCTTGGCTCCTTTTCAAGCAGCTCAGGAAAAATTTCCTGCTTTTTTGTTCAGAGGACCTTCTACTAACAGGGACATCCTAGTAGGAGAAAAAATAAATAAATCAAGATGCCAGCTGCATGACACCCCCCCCCCTTTTTTTTTTAAACACGTGTTGTGTCGCTCCTGAAGTTGCTATTTTAATTTGCTGCTCAAGTTAGTTCCCATTGCAGCTTGTTAATCACTTACAAATCCGTGGCTCTGCCCCTTCTTGCAAATTGAGATCCAAAAATGAGAATTCAGGACAAGAGCGTCTGCCTCTTTTTTATCCCACAAGACACTCAAGGTGGACATAATTTTTTCCTTTGCTGTCCAAGAACACCATCCGTATCCTATTGTCAGGGTGCTGTGTCTTTGTGGCTGCATTTGCACAACATGGATCATCTGCTTATTGAATCAGCCCCATCTGTTGAGTTTGTGCAAGACCAGGGGTCTTCAAACTTGGCCCTTTTATGACTTGTGGACTTCAACTCCCAGAATTCCTCAGCCAGGCACGTGCCTGGCTGAGGAATTCTGGGAGTTGAAGTCCACAAGTCATAAAAGGGCCAAGTTTGAAGACCCCTGTGCAAGACCATGAATTGGCCAACCCAGAAAAAGAAACTAACCAAGGAAGAAGATAAATTGAAGGAAAAACGGGCTAGGTGCCTACAGCAAGCAAATTGGGGACTATTGGCCAGCCATCAAGTGATAACTGGGTAGGTTGATGGCCAGTGATCTAACCATGTGGACAGATATCTTGGGAGGCTTCTTAAGGTGAGCCAGAGGAACCTTCTAGTTAAGAAGGTTGATATGGATGTTTTCCATCTCCAGGTTAAGCAGATTCCTTCCTGATGGATGAACACGGATGGGTAAACCAGCTAGTTATCATCTCTTCTAGCAAAGAGCTCCTGGTCCAAACTAATCTAATTCCAGCCCTGCACTTCCCGTTCATTTCAATCCAACAGGTTATACTTGATTTTTAAAAAAACTGAAGCAGTGTTTTCCTTTTGGTTTTTCAGGGTGTTCATGAATCGAAAGGAGTTACTGAAGATTATTTGAAGTTGGAAACTCTCTTACAGAAGGTTGTTTCCCCTTACCTGGGGACGTACGGTTTGTACTCCAGGGATGGCGCTCTCGCTCACTCCTCCTGCATTTTAGGTAATACTTCTAGAGCTTGGCAAGTGGTAGCCTATCTTCTTTACTTGTGTGATGACTCCCTGTCACCAGGGGTAGATTGCAGCTGAAAATAAGTACCATGAAAATTAAACAGCACAGTGATAAACGTAACAGAAAGCAATTTATTAATTCTGCATAATAATAATCTGACAGCCTGTATATATTATTATTATTATTATTATTATTATTATTAATAATAATAATAATAATAATAATAATAATAATAATTATTATTATTATTAAAAAAAAAAGTTGGAAGGGATCTTGGAGGTCATCTAGTCCAACCCCCTGCTCAGGCAGGAAACCCTATACCATTTCAGACAAATGGCTGTCCAGTCTCTTCTTAAAAACTTCCAGTGTTGGAGCATTCACCGCTTCTGGAGGCAGGTTGTTCCACTGGTTAATTGTTCTCACTGTCAGGAAGTTTCTCCTTAGTTTGCTTCTCTCCTTGATTAGTTTCCATCCGTTGCTTCTTGCCCTGCCTTCAGACACTTTGGAGAATAGCTTGACTCCCTCTTCTTTGTGGCAGCCCCTGAGATATTGGAAGACTGCTATCATGTCCTTCTCTTCATTAAACTAGACATACCCAATTCCAGCAACCGTTCCTCATATGCTTTAGCCTCCAGTCCCCTAATCATCTTTGTTCCTCTTCTCTGTACTCTGTACTCTCTGTACTCTGTACTCAATGTCATCTCCCAAGGTCAACCAGCTTTAAGAGTTAGTAGATTTCTTATCAGATACTTAACATATCTAAAACCTACTTCCTGATTCCATACACTTGCTTCTTTTGCCTTTCAAAGTTGTGAAGCTTGTGAAAATCACACTGCAGTGCCTGGAATGGAGAAGATCTGTTCAGGAAGGGCATGGACTGTAGAATTGACCAAGTAGACTTTCCAAGTGGAAGAGGGATACTCCATAGTGGTGAAAGTGTTGGATTAGGAGCAAGGAGATCTGGGTCCAATCCTTTTTCAGCCACATAAAATTTCTGTGTGACTTTGATCCAGGGTCTCTCTCTCTCTCTCTCTCCCAGCCCAAGAGCCAGAGGTAAAGGTGTTGGAACTATGGTAGGAGCAGGAAGACCGAGGTTCTCATCCCCACTTAGGCACAGAGACTCCCTGGTGACTTTGGGTCAATCTTTCCCTCTCAGTCCAGGAATCAGTGTGGAAGAGAAAGTGTGGACTAGGAGTAGAGAAACTCAGATTCTAATCGTCATCAGCCACAAAAATTCCCTTTTGAACTTGGGGTCAGTCGCTCCTTTTTAGATCAACCTACCTCACAGGGCTGTTGTTTGAAGAAACAACAGGAGGAGGGGGTATGGGATAAAAGAGGGGGTTGTAATTTTATATTCTTTGTGATGGATTCTCAAAGGAGAAAGACATATACAAACCTACACACTTGTAGAAACTTCTCGTGTATGAGGTAGGGAGAAAAAGAGGCTACAAGGAAGAACGTAAAAGAGAAGAAAGCCAAAATGCCTCTCCATTAAATCCTTGGCTGCATAGTCTGTTGTTGCATCCTTTTGCAAACATCTCACCTGCCAAAGATCTAACTTAGGAAAAGTACAGTATTAAGCTAGTGCCATCTAGTGGCCAACCTGAAAAAATTCCTGAAGTTAAGGCAGTGTGGATGTACACCACCAGTTTCTGTAGAGCAGTGGTTCTCAACCTTTTTAATGCCGCGACCCCAACTGGTCATAAGTCGAGGACTAAACCGGTCGTAAGTCGAGGACTAAACCGGTTGTAAGTCGAGGACTACCCAACCGGTCGTAAGGCGAGGACTTTCCCTGCCCGGGAGCGCCGCGCATGCGTGGTTCCGCCCCCTGCGCCGGCCGAGGCGTAGCTGGCAAGCGGCAGAGACAGAGCAGGCCGACCACCAGCTGGCCCAGCCCAAGGGAGGTAAGGCACCCGCTGGAAAAGGGGGAAAAATGGCGGACAAAAAAAATGGCGGACAAAAAAAATGGCGGACAGCCTTGCTTGGCGACCCCCGTGAAATGGTCGATCGACCCCAAATGGGGTCCTGACCCACAGGTTGAGAACCACTGCTGTAGAGGAAACTACCAAAATGATGTCTTTCTTCATGGAAGAATAGGATAAAATATACAACTGAACTAATGAAGTCAATGATTCCTGCTCTAATAAACAGTAACGCCAGGCTTCTATTTGCAGAGGCCAAAAGCTCATAAAGACTGAACATGTTTGGAAGGTAGACAGTACTGATCTACAGAGGTCCTGGGAAAGCAAAGGTAACAGGATACTTCCTTTCAATTAGGCTCTTTTGTTTCATGTCCAAGAGACACAGTCATACAAGCAGACACGGGAGAGTTGAATGGTCAGGAAAAAAAAATACAAATGTCAGGAAAGGAGGTTCACATACTGATTTGATGTCACCATCCAGATACCTGGGCACAGACCTTTTATGGTGAGTTGGTTGTGATGGTAGGGACAGTGTGAAAATTTTAATTGTTCTCTGTGTTTGTTAACAGAAAAACGCTTCTTTCGGCGCTCTAAATCGGGGGATATTCTTGCTAAGAATCCGGTGGTGAGATCCAAAAGTTACAACAATCCTTTGTTGACTCCCGTAGCCGAGTATGAGACAGAAGGTGCAGCTGCCAACAACTCAAGCATCCGACGACACTCGGTTTCTGAAATGACCTCCTGCGCCGAGATGCCGGGCTACTCCAATCTCACCACCATCACAGACAATGGGTCCAAGAGCTCCATGCTTACCATGAAGATCCCACCATCGGGAGAACAGGAGAGGATTTCGGCTGCTTCAGTGCAATGTGTGTCTGATCAACCCAAAGGACTCTTCTATCCCATAGACAACCCGGCCAGGGCATTTGAGTTAGGCCGGGATTCGGATTTGCTCGCCATCGCTCCCACAGCCAGCCCTGAGAACATCGTGGACCAGATTTTAGAATCGATTGATTCCGATTCAGATGGAATTTTCATTGATTTTGGCCAACACTGCTCTGGCTCCCCGAGGTACAATATGGATGTGAACAGACAAAGCGTGGTCTGAAGGAGTTGTGCTTTACAAGTCCACCGGCCTCTTTGCCTACTCTTCCAAGTCAGATAAAGAGGATGACCTCCCCCCAGAGAAATGTGGATAATCCTGGCTTGAGGAAATGGTGGTGCCACTTTGTGGTCAGGTTGCATCTGTTTAGGCTAAGTTCATAAAGTCACATTGAGGTCCATCCATGACCAGGCTGAGCTATGGGTAGTGATGGAGCTTAGGTTTTATATCCAGGTTGAACTGAGCCACAAATTATAACAAGCCCGAGATACTATTCAATCTCTCTAAATGTCCTTCATAAGTGCCCCCTCCTCCTGGGGATGTGATTTGCCTCCCATTGATTGCCTTCTTTCCCAGTGTTTTTCCAGTTTGGATTTCCTCAGCATTCTCCTTTCTTGCAGGAGTCAGCCAACCAGAGCCAAGTAGAGGAAGACTACCAAGTAGACTACTGGCGGATTTACTTGGAATGGAAAAGGACCAAATGAATAGGGAATTGGACCAGGTTTTTAGAGTCAATTCCAATTACGCAAGAAGGAACAGAGTGCCCAGGGAGGTCCACGTTAGATTTCTTAAAAGAAATCGGCGAGATGAAATTTTGAGAATAGTAAGGGACCAACCTATGAAGTATAAAGATAAAGAGCTTGTAGTTCTTAAACAGAGTCCTAGAAAAATAAGGGAAGCACGAAGAGATTATCAATTTTTAACAAGGAAACTGACTGATAGAAGAGTGAATTTTAGATGGTTGATTCCAGAAGGGCTACTGATTTTTTGGGACTCGAAAAGATATAGATTGGACACCCCATTCCAAGCAGAGGAATTTTTTAATAATCACAGAGCCTTTTTGGAGAAAGGCGATATGGAGTTTAAGAGACCAGAGGGAACGTTTACTCCAGAGACTTCTAAGGAGGAGTTACCAAAAAAGACACAATCAGAGGAAGACGTCAGACCTAAAGATCAGAGACAAGCTCACCTAGAAGATTGAGATCCCGAAATAATTAAAAGTATGGAGGAAATTGGAATATACTCAATAAATATAAATGGTCTCAACTCCCCATCAAAAAGGAGTAAAATATTTCATAGGCTACAGAAACTTAGAATGGACATAATTTGTCTACAAGAGACTCGTATTAAGAGACAACACTCTAGAATTTTAGAACAGCCAGAACTAGGTAAACTTTATTTTTCTTCGGCATTACAAAAGAAAAGAGGGATAGTGATATATATAAAAGAAAAGTTGAATCCAGTTATTCTTCTAGTGGATGCTCCTGGTGTAGAAAAGAACATAGATGACTTCTTCAAAATCCAAGTGTGATAGTTTAGGAGAGAAATAGACAGCTTGTGGCATTCAAGTGCAGCACAGGCACCGGTGAGTGATGAATTGGGATTAGCTCAGGTGTGTACATGCCCATATGTATGCACATGCATGTATCTAGTCTCTCATGTGCAAGCAATGGTGGCACCATCAAGTCTGTTGGAGAAGCAAGTTGAAGTCCCCTCATTTGCCCTGCCTGTCCCAGCCATGGCCAGTTTTCAGAATGGCCCTCTTGTTGTGCAGCCCTTGCAGTGTTAAACTTCTCTCAGAGGAGAAGACCATTGTGTTGTTGGGACTTGTAGAAGAGTCAGAGTAGTCATGAAGTCCCCTCTGTCAGGTCTCAGTGGCTGGAAGATTCTAGTTTACTCTTATCGAAATGGTTGAGCAGGAATGCAAAGAACGCCAATCATATGTGAAGACCGGATGGACTAAAAAGGAGAGGAAATCCAATTCTTTGGATTGAGATTGGATTACAAGAGAGCACGAGGATTTCACAGCTGCCTGGGTTAACTTCTGAACTATTCTTTTCATTTACTAAAGAATTGACAGTTGTCTTATATGGCTCCCCTTTCCAGGAATTAAGTAAGGACGGGTTTGGGGTGTGTTTTTATTCTTATCTCATGGTGCCATAGCCAGAGGTTGAATGCACAAAAAGAGCTGAACCCTGACAAGTTGGAGCTGACTTATTTCAGCAAGAGCAGGATTAGCGCAGGATACTACTGCCACTAATAAGGTAGATATGTGCTTTTGGGGTCCAACCATTACAAAGGAGGAGAGAATCTCAGCTTGGGCACTTGGAAAAGCAAATCTGGGATATTACTAAGCATCAGACAGCCGACCATAGGAACTGACCTCACGACAAGCTGCCATAATGGATACAGAAAAAATTAGTTACCTCTATGACACAGTGAAAGTAGTAAAGAGAAATTAAGCATGATGAACTTGAGTCCTGCTGATGGAAAGGTTATTTACAGATCTCTATTGTACTTAAAAGTGTACAATTTTAAGCTTAAAGTGGTATTTGGTGACTTGAAAATAGTACGTATGTGGTGCTTAATCAGCAGTCATTCCTATTTGCAAATCGGTGTTACAGCCGACATACTGTACATGCATGTATGAAAAAGTTCCTTGCATTCATGTTGGGGAAAAGTGTCATTTTCTGCCTCATTACTGCCTTGATAAGATTTCTTGAATAGGAAACTGTCTTAATGGCAATTAATATTAGAAAACCTACCTTCCTCATCAAGCTAACAACCATGTTCATGACTTCCAAACAATTCCTTAAAATGAAATCCTGCTCTTCAAAAGTTAAAATGTGTCTATAGACTGCAAAAGGAAGAAAAGGGTTTTAATTTTAAAAAAGTTGTTCCAAATATAATAGAATTTGATTTATAGCAGGTACTATTTTTTAATGATTCTCAGTACATCCACACGTCTTTCACCAATCAAGTGAAATTTGTAAAACTAATTTAAATAAATAGTGTGCTTGCTACTGAATGGTTGAGAGCCTGTGTCCAGAGTGGGGGTTTTTTTTAAACAAAAGAAACCAGAGAGAATATTTTTATCAATGTCATCTTAATTTATTTATCTATGTTACATATGATTGAGCATCCAGTGGAGATGACCCAAAGTGGTTTATAGCAGTGTGAATAAAATACACAAGCACATTAACCCAAAAATATATGCCAAGACACCCACAACACAATATTTAATTCATAGCATTGAAACTATTGCCCAAATGAATTAGTAGTAGTGGTAATGGTAATGGTAATGGTAATGGTAATACTAATAATACTAATAATAATAATAATAATAATTATTATTATTATTATTATTATTATTATTATTATTATTATTATTATTATTATTATTATTTTATTGGCACTTTGAATGTACACCAATCGACATACATCAAAAGGAAATATTGTTGCATACAGCTCTCAAAGGGTCACCATCTCCAATATAGACTCCTTGTTCGTGGCCAGCTCAAGTTACAGATCTTCCATTTTAGTCTCTAGGGAGCAAATGATGGCAAACAGGACAGATGGAAACGGAGCTCCATGTGGATTAGCCCTCAAATTACCTCATATTCCTGTGCCAGCAGTCAGATCTTGCTGCCAGCAGAACAATTTCAAACAGCACAAACGGAATAGTCCAAACACACACACACACACACACACACACACAAGGTTTAAAAGGTGGTCCAGAGCACCAACACATCTTTCAGGACATGATAATTTGAACTGCCTATAAAGAAGGTCAGAAAACTTGGGTCAAGTGAACCACATGCCATAGGTTGTCCACAATGTTGGGATCCCTAGTGAGAAGACTGCCTCCAAGTTTCCACTGCCCCCAGACTTTGATGGGTGAAGGACAGGAGGAACTGATTCCAGTTGGAAGGGGTGGCCCTGAAGGGGGAGTTGATGGGTTAACACCAGCATTTTAAATATGGGCTGAAAATTATGGCTATGGGTGCAAAGGCTGCCACCCTGGTGCTAGACAGCTTAACCTTGGCATCGCCATTCGGACTAACTGCAGCTTCGTGATCATCTTCAAAAGCACTACCATTGAGAGTGTGTTGCGGTAGTCTAACTGTACAGTTTCACTGGCATCAATCACTGCCATCATGGCCTCCACAGGCATCTTCTGCCTGGGCCAGAATGGCAATATATGGTTGTCTAATACTTTACCCCAAACAGGTAGATTGGTGGACAATCTGTGTGTCTTGCTTGGTGCAGTTTCTTATGCCAACTTAAGATCCCAGTTGGATAGCAGAGGATTGGCAAGGGGCTAGTTTGGTGCTTGGTCTGGACTCTGGCCACAGCCATTTCTTGCCCTCCCATCTGGACAAAAGCAGCTTTGCTGGCTGACCCATCTCCCAGAGCAGGGGTAGGCAACCTTGGCTCTTTTATGACTCGTGGACTTCAACTCCCAGAATTCCTGAGCCAGCATTGCTGGCTCAGGAATTCTGGGAGTTGAAGTCCACGAGTCATAAAAGAGCCAAGGTTGCCTACTCCTGTCCCAGAATATAGGGACTCCATTCCTGTGCCTGCTTTCCTAGGGGTTCGAACAACTAAATGCCTTCATGCTCCCTCCTCACATTCGTTCCTTCAACACTAACATAGACTCTTTTTCTTTAGTCCTCTTATGGTACCATCACTGTTGTTGATACTACAATAATAAAGCAAACAAAAGAGGTGGTTGCTTTGTTCCCATGTTCCTTAAGAGGCACCTGGGTCACGAACCTTTGTTTCAGTT